ATATATATATATATATATATATATATATATATATATATTTACGATTTTAACATATTTATAAATCATAATTTTTTTTAAATGCATTCAAATATATTTTTTATTTATTGCATTAAAACATTTTTAATCATGCATTTAACTAAAATATTTTCGATAATTAACTCCTACAAAATATTCAACCAACAAATTAATCATTTTCATAAATCAAATTAATCTAACAATTAACTTTCGAAAAAGGGTTACGAGTATATTTGTGTCGGTTGCGCACTCCATCTAATATCTCCGCTATTCATACACATAGACTGAGTATGCGGGAAATTCAAATATCTTTGTAATCTAATAAAAAATACGAACAAACTGCAAACTACGAATTGAGACTCTGATTTCTCATAAGAGGATACGTAGGCATACGATAAAAATCGTGGCGAGTTAAAAAATTAAAACCCTATTTCCTAAGGTCGCGTTTCTGACCCTAGTATCCTTGTGAACAAGGTAGATGAGGGTGCCTAACACATTCCCTTCATCTAGAACCGAGTCCAAAAAACCTAAAATATTTAACTTTTAGGATTATCATTTATATTTCCTTTCTTAGGATAAAAATTAAGGGTGTCCAAATTTAAAACTAGTTATAACAGTATAAACCACAACTTTCTTGACTTGCTTATTCTTTGAAACCATACTCTTTACCTATGATGGGAATATATAGTCATAATTAAACTTACAGGACAAAAATAACAAATCATATTAACATACATAATCAAACTTACAGGATCACTGCAAGTTGCCTTGACACTTCCTGGAGGTTTGAATGCTTTGGAAGGTTTGACTTTTAGTGCACTCTTAAAGTTAGCATACAAATGTCCCACACAAAACATATGTTCAAGTGTTGGGTATTGCTCCTCAATTACTTGTACCATACCCTGACAAAATAACAATAAAACAATTCATTTCACCTGCATCATTTTTCTCAAATCTCACATCTCTTCCATTCAAGACATTATATTCCAAAATAGAACTCTTTAACTGCTTTAATGATGAAAATTCCATTCCAATCTTGAACTTAAAATCCTTTGTAATTCCATATTCCTCATTGAACCTATCAACATTTGGCCTATCATCACTACTGTCATCTTCAACAACACTATCGATTTCATCAGTCATATACTAATTTTCAATTACATGTTCCTTACCCATCTCTATTACAATAAAACTATGTTTCACTGCCTCACTAGAGCCTGCACCATCTGCAACAAGTATGTTTGTGGACTGACCATCACATAAACTCTTATTACCACCCTCATCAAATCCATTCATCCTTTCTTCTTCACTATCTTCAAATTTGATATTCTTGACAGACTCATCACTAGAATCCTCAATATCAGTACATGAATCAACATCATCTTCACCTTTTACCCCCTTGTTCCTTTATCTTGCATTCTCCGTAAATGTTGCATCCCCTGTAGTTGGTTTGGGCTCAATGTAGATTTCAACCTCACCTTTATAGTTTTCAACAAATGCAGATAACTCAAGTGCACCACCATCACCCCTATATGGTTTCAGATCAGCTTATAAACTACCATCACCATGTTTCCACCATATTCTAACATCATTATATTCAAACCCATGATCCATTCCCTTAATTAAATTACATGCCTAAAAAAAGACCAACAATCAGGATCTTGACCATTAAATGCGTACACTTCCCCCTCATACTTTAACATAAGATCTTTTACAAAATAATCCTTTGTGTAAAGTACTACCTTAAAGACACCTATGCTTACACAATGGACAAATACAGTCAACATTGGACCCACAAATTTGACTTAGTACACAAAAAGTCAAGGAATACGAAATACATTGAAGTAAAACACAAACCCTAGACCAACATTCAATAAAATTGAATCTCAAGTTAAACATGTGGACCTACCTCAGATTCAATGTCGAGGGACCACAAGTGATTGCAGGGACCACAAGCATGCACTTTTCAAGACAAGTTTGGGACCACACCACAACCACGATAAACTTCCAAACAAACAACTGCAATCAAGACCAAATGAATTGGTTAGTGTTACAATGGATAAATTGGACCCATTAGAAGCATTCGTTTGAAGAAGAAACGAGGATTTCAGAATCATTCTACACAGACCTAACACTTGTTAAAGAGACCAATGAATTTCACTTTGAAGCTTATTAGGGTTTTCTATCAGCTAAAAAATCCTCTTTGTATTCTAAGTGAAAGAAATCCTCTTTGTATTCTAAGTTCATTAATTGATATTAACTACGTGGAACTAAATTATTCAGCATTACTTAAAAAATTTGTCAGCTAATCGTCCACGTAGGCTTTTGTTAAGTGAAATAGACGGTAGAGACGAAAAATAGGGACGAAAAAAATTTAAGAGGACCATTCCTTGAACGAAAATGTTATAGGGACTAAAATTAGATTTTAAGATATTTATAGGGACTAAAAACATATTTAACCCAAAGTTATAATAATTTGATTTAATTGATTAAAATTGAAAACATGTATCTTATTTATTTATTTATTTATTTTTAAATTCAGTTATTATGTACCATATTTAATTTTTTAAATTCAATTGTTATTATTAATTATAAAATTTAAAAGTTTTGGAAGAAAAATTGATGAAGACATTGTATAATTATAATTTAGTATGATAATATTCATAATTAAATATAATATTTTTTATTTATAAAAGTGATTACAATGTTCTTTATTGACAAAAAAAAATATAATACTTTAACCATCAATAAATTTTATGAATTTTAATATTATTGTGATTTTTATATAGTGTCACTATTTGTTTCTCTTACTCCATTAGATATTTAAAGATATTATAAATAAAATAATAATAAATATTATATTGAATTTTAGGAATAACAAGTAGTAATAAAAACAAAAATTCTCTATAAAAGAATAAGAAATTTAGAGTAATAATAATTAATACCTAAATATAAATAAAGATTACAATGTTTGATTGAATATAAAAATCCAACAGGTGACCAGTAAAATACTTTAAATGAATTTAGTTTGTTATGTTATAAAATATATTTTTAAATTTAAGTGTGTTTATTAAAATCAACGTAATTAAAACTGGACTTGTCATTAAAATAGCATAGAGAATGTTTAAAGTTTAAAAGTTTGACCCAAGTCAAATCGAAATGCGATTGATTTTAATAAAATATAATTTTTTAAATTATTTTAATATAATATATCATATATTACTATTATATAATTTTGACATATTTATATATTTTTATTAATTACAAAATATATATTTTTTAAACGTTTTATAACAATAAATTTCAATATATAGTTTTGTTTTAGTCAAAATAACAAATAACTTTGTTTAATTTTAAAATAATTAAAAAGACACAACCCTAATAAAAAGAAACTAATCGAGAAGAACATAAATTCTTTTCATCTCCTTTTCTATATCGGCTAACAGCCTCTTTTTCGGTTTTATTTTCAAACGATTATCAAGTGTTATCAAACCGGATACAAGTCCGGGTTCCGGTTCAACCAGTCTAACCGGCCGGTCCGGTTCGGATTTAGTTACCTTGATAGAAACCCTAAACATATAAAAAAGAAGAAGAAAATATTCAAAGCTCCACCATCCGCCGTTCTGCTCCACCATCCGCCGTGCTGCTCCACCATCCGCCGTTCTGCTCCACCATCCGCCGTGCTGCTCCACCATCCGCCGTGCTGCTCCACCATTCTGTCTATACTCGCCCAATCCAAAACACACATTACTAGTCACCTAATGGAAGTAGATACATTGGAGATAATACCACACGATACCAACAATGGCAGCGGCGGCGGTATCACACCAAAGAAATCCACTCGCCTCGGCAAGAGAAAGGAGTACATGCACGACGACACTAGCCAGCTCTCTGCGCGCAAAAAGAAGGAGATGAGAATCCGTTTATCGTTAACGAAGCCTTCCTATGTTCTTAGACTCTGTCCAGAACCTTTCAGATCGGAACATCGTCGGAGATTGCAGTACCTGCTGCGTAGGCTCGTTAATCAACAGGATTGGGTTGGAGCTAGCGGTGTTATTAGTGTTTACATGAAAGGGACTCTTAAGGATACTTCTATCTTGACGAATCGTTTCAAGTTTTCGGTAATGCCTTATTTCCCCTTTCTTGTTTTTGACAATTGCAAATTGTGAATTTTTTTAATGTCATGTATTGTATCTCATTTGCTTGCTGAAGGTCGCTTGTTTCTTTCATCACTCATATCCTGATTCTAGAATCTATGCCTTTCTATGTGTAGGCTTTACTAGAGCTTCTTAAGCATGTGGGAAACCATTCTATCAATTTAAGAAGGGTCGGGAATCTCTACGACATTTGGTCAAAGAAGATTGGATCATTGAAGATTAGATCAATGAAGACTTGGGCAGTACAGGTATATTTCTCGGTTTGTTTTCAGTTCTATTTGATAAATAATTATACTTGCAATTGAAGAATTGTTATGAATTGATTCTGTTAAGCATTCAAATTTATTGTGTATTTTTACTTGGAAAGCAGAGTAGACATGCAGTTCTTTTGGAGAACATCTTGTTCTATCTTATGCAAGGCGATGCTGAGAAGGCATATCAGCTTGCTGTATGGTATGTCATATTGAGTTTTAATGCTTACTGTTATACATTGCATCATGATGCCAAGGACTGGATAGTTTCAAAATCTGCCATTGCTAGATAATGTGGTCAGCTGGTTATGCCTTTACTGTTATATTCTTTTAGATGGGGTTATAATTTGTTCTGATAACTTATATTGCTCATTATGGTTCAAGTATTAATGATTATTGCCATTAATATTTATTCTCGAGACATTTAGGAATAACACCTTAATTGTTAAGAATATGTATGGTACTCAACTACTCATTATGAAATACTGACTAAGAATATTAAAGATACATGAGCATAAAGTCAATGTTTCAAAGAATCAAGTGATAGTGCCCTAGTGCTTAAGAGGATGAAATTGAGACGGGTAAAATTTGTGGATGGATTAGCTAACTAACACAATCACCTCACCTAAAATACTAGATTTTTGTCCGCCACATAAGATCGATTAGGGTTCCACCAATACATGGAGGAAGCATAACACTTATGGTATTCTGAGAGTCACAATTCATATTTCACTATAATTTACCATCAGTATCAACATGTACAAGAAGCCTTGGAATGACCGTAGTGGCTTATTTAAGTGTCAATGTCAAGATAACAGTGTTGTCAATGGCGGTCCATTGCGAAGAGCCAAAATCCTGCCATACCAGCTGCTTTGCGGCGACATTATAGAGGATTAAGGCGGAAAAATCACAATATTGGCCAATATTTACCATTGCGGTGAGCATAAAAGCTGCCATTTATATCTACCATATTTGATATGACCGCAATATAACTCTTTTGAAAAAAGGAAACAACTGAAATATGATTTAAATTCCTTTGACATGTTTTTCAACTGCAAACTTTCCATTGGTACTGCATTTTGTTCATTAATAATTTTTTTTTTACTTCAAAAATAAATTGGTTCCTTACCCGCTACTAGTTTTTTCCTCCATCTTCTCCCTTTGCCGTCTCTCTCTCTCTCTCTCTCTCTCTCTCTCTCTCTCTCTCTCTCTCTCTCTCTCTTGTTTATTATGTCTTTATGTTTTTTCCTTAGCATTGACCAAGAGAAAGTAGATATTGATCCTGTTTCAAAGATAATATTGGGTTTGGCATTCTATGAGCGGTGGTATTCTTCTATTCCCGAAGAATTTCAGTGGAGAGATTTAGATCAAATTGACGGCAAAGAGAACTCACATACGGAGGGAACTTCATTCAGCAATGAAGTTAGACAGTCAAAGTGGCATAATACAGTTGAGTCGCACATGGCAGACTCCCAATATCAATGCTACTCAGATTCATCTGTCATGAATAATAAGCAAATGTCTAAGGATGTTGGCCTCAATAATGATATGATTGTTTCCGTGGATGTTAAAGCTAACCATAAAAGAGAACAACTGCGTCAAATCTTTCAGCCGCAAGATTTTTACTTGGCTTCTGATGAAAATCAAGTAACAGGAGATCCTTTTTCTAATAGCGGAGGTCTTACACAATATATCTTGAGTGCTCTTGGTAAGCTTTTTATTTTCTGAATAATTGTTAACAGAAGATTATCTCTTTCATGTGGCTGCACATCTGTATGAGAGTGTGCATGCTCATATGCTTGTTTATTGAGTTTGTCCTATCTGAGTTTTTTCTTTCTCCGATTGAAAATATTGATTTTGTTTTCCATACTAGTTTTTGACAAGGCTAGTTTTGATTTTCTTTTGCTCACATTTACTATTTTAAAGCAACCTCTGGTTAGGCTCACAGCCTAACTATTGCTCATCAATCAGCATTTATTATCTCACAGTATATTTTATTCAGATTACTTGTGACTTTAATATTGATCTTATGCATTTATTTAGGGAGGCTTGATTTGTGGTTGCTGCCCTTGCGTTTTGAGAATGTTAATGGTTTGTTGGAATTCATGATCATGCACAAAACTCAATTCAATGTAGACTATAACAATGCAGTAGAGTATTTACGACTAGCTCTTAACTCAACATCCTTTGCATCAGCAGCATTGCTTCCATTAATACAGGTATGGAGCATACATCTCAAGTTACTTTGAAACCATTTAACTGCTTTTGGCATTTTGTATTGGCACATGTTCAATAAACTAAAAAGGTGGTTTCAAATTGTAGAAGTTATAATGAGTTAGTAGTTACATAACCCCATCCCCAAAATAAAACAAAATTTATTTTTGATTTCACTGTTAGGGTGTTGATATGTTGCGGAAAGTAAGTGAGAAGAGAGAAATAAGTAACAGAGAGTTAAATAAGATTTGAGCCATTGTTACTCTTGTCTTTTCTTCACCATGTTTAAGCTGTTGGGAAATTTGGTCCTTTCAGCGTTGTTATTGTTACTATTTGGTCATTTCTTCTACATGCACGTGTACAAACATAATACGAAAATATCATGGCTTGGGTTTTTTGAAACCAATTTTCCATCTAAACTTGCACAAGATAACTAAATGTGCTCTGCAACTCCGCACTAAGTTTCCTTTTCTTTATGCGTTTACACGTGTATAATTTTTGCATCTGCTTGAAACAATATATTTGATAGTAATTGTTTTCTTTATGGAATTATTTAGATACATCAACGATTGCTTCACTTTATTTTCTGTTGACAGCTGCTGCTGATTCAAGGTCAAGTTAATGAGGTTTTAACTCTGCTTGAGCAACAATGCGATAATTCATATTCTGTACTCCCGATTAGGTACACATTCCTTGCTCATTGTTGAAAGAGAACATGAAAAGAGATATATGGCAAAACCGTGTATTTAAACTATACCCGGGAGTCAACTTTATATAGGCCTAAAGTATTAATTGCAAAAATAAATATAAGAGATACTAGCCGTATTTACATGATATATATGCATATACAATAAGAGGTTAATATATGGTGTAATTTTTTTTTACATATGCATCCAATCAAATCATGTCAAATAGATATTTGTTCAGATATTTTCGAAACTAACTTAAAAAAGTGGTATCACAGACAGAGCAATTTGATTGGATGTATGCATAAAAAAGATTTACAATCAGTACATATATTAATTTCATAGATTAAATACAATGATCATGATATTTGTGTTATTAAATAACAGCAATAGTGTTATTGCATAACTGTATATCAATGTAAGAAAAAAAATGTAAAATCAAATCGATGAATTGAAATAAAACGTAAGATCTTCTTTTTTATAGGAGAAAGTACATAAAGATACTCAATAAATTAAGGAGTGATTTAGAGATTTAAAATAAAAATAAAATAAATGTAAAATCAAGTAGTATCAGACTAATGATGATAAACTATTTTAACACCCCCTCAAGTTGGTGCATAGATATCAATCATGCCTAACTTGCTTATCATCTACTCAACTTGTGACAATCGATTTTGATATTATCTATTCAACCTTGTGGAACTGAATTGTAGGCTATGCTTATTGCGGTCTTGTTGTCACAATATAACTTCAATGGAAGTTCCATCTACATCCTTAACTCCTTTTAGAACTCGATGAATTGAATCCAAAGAACCTCACAAATTCTTTGGACCAATGCTCTCTAAACTCAGCCTCTTTGGCCTTTTCAATTTGCACTCTTTTGATCCCAAATTTTCTTTAGAGCCTAGAGAGCGCCATCCATGCCGTATACTGTATGACTGAGTACACCGTTTACCTACCAACTTTGTCTTATATCTTTCTACTGAACCCTAAGAGTTGTACTTTACTGTAAATACTCAGTTCTCTTTTCAGCTGGTAAAGTCATAACATTCTAAACTTATTCTTCTCAAGCACTTTCATCTCCGCAAACATAACTTTCTTCCACTTTGGAACATTTAGAGTTTCCTATACAGAATTTCTATGCAAGACAAATGAGAGTCCAAAATAAAAATAAGAGGATAAATTAAAATATGATATGAAGTATGAACCCAGTCATAAGATGCTTGGTGCAGTATCTAACAAATTTCCCTATTAGATACGAGAACATCAAGGTTAATATACTTAGGATGAGAATCAAAGAGAATTATTTGTACCTTTGTTTGCTTTAGTGGGTTGATTCTCCCTCGATTCCTGATTCATGATTGCGCTGACGAATCTAGTTTTCTACTTTCTGATCACAACTCCTGCTTTCATAAACCAATCCTTTCAAAGTTTGGTTACCTTCTCCAAAGTTTTGTCCTGTTCTCATTATAAGGATGTGGCAGTGGTTCAATGAGATTCTAACTTGGTTCTTTAAGGACAAAGGGTCAACCCCTACTGTTGCTGAAAAACCCTAACAAGATCAAGAAAAAATTAAACCACAATTCTAGATACCAATTCGAATATCATAGCAGTTTCCTTGTTATTGTTTTTATCATGCTTGGTTTCCCTATTCAACTAGGATTACGAGTTTTGTATCTCAGTACTTAATTATTTTTTCAACATCAAATCGTAATCATATTTTAATATTTATTCTTCCTCTTTTCTCTATCTAAAACCCATTATTGTTTCTCCGTCTCTTTTCTAAAACTCACTACTTAAACATGTACGTAATATAGTCATTAAATCAGCAATTTGAGATAAGCAAGTTGTGGTGATATGATTTACTCATAATGATTTTACTGATGCATTTGCTTGCAGATTACGAGTGGTTCTCTTGGAGCATTTTGATCGTAACAACTATCTCTTGATTCAAAGTTGTTATGAGGATATATTAAAGAAGGATCCAACCTGTTGTGATTCTTTAGCAAAACTTATAACGATGCACCAAGAAGGTATCTTCATTCATAACAAATTCTTTTAAATAAATTGAATAATTTTTCTACCTCTATAACTAATCCTAATTAACAAAAAAATCAACTAATAGAGCAATCACACTGTGCCTGTGTCATTAATTGATTTCTTCTGATATGTTGCAGGAGACTATAGTCTTGAATCTCTTCTGGAAATGATGGCTTTACATTTGGATGCTACAGATGCAGAGTACAATACATGGAAGGTACTGGCTATATGTTTTTCTAAATTATCTCTCCATGACGAAGACATCTTGTCTACATGCTCCACTCAAAAGGATAAAGTACAGGGCCTGCAACATTCCTCCTCTCGCGAAACCCCTAAAATATTTACAGAGGGTTTATCAGCAAAATCTTGGAATCTTCGCTGTCGGTGGTGGCTAACAAAATATTTCAGCAATAGCAAATTTGAGTTAAATATTAAAACTGGTGATTTACAGTCACTCACATACAAAGCAGCATGTGCAATGTACATGTATGGACAAGAGTTTAGCTATGTTGTGAAGGCTTATTCTCATTTAGAAAGAGAAAATGAAAAGGATTTATTGCTATTTTTGGCTGAGCACAAGAGAAATTCATATGGAATTTACAATAAAAATTCTAAGAAAACTAAGTGTTTAAGATGAATATGATAAGATGAATATCATTATTTTATCTTAGTTTTGGGTAGCTTTCATGGTTTAAATTGTATACACAGTTTTGTATGAGTTTTTTTGTCCATTATCGCACGTAAATGCATCTTTACGAAGCCACAAATTGCAAACAATAGGACCAAATAAGTGTTCAAAATAAACTGAAACATTGATATAATATGTGAATTGAATAAATTTGAAAATGATTAAACAGTTAAAACTGTGCAATGACTCACTTTAACTTTATCATTTTGTTTAGAGAATAAAACTTTTTTAAATTTTCTTTACAAATTAATTATCTTTATCCGAAAAAACAAAACAGAACTATATAGTTTTTCTTATAATTATAACATACAGGTTTAAGTTTGTAAAAATAAATTTATAAAAATTGTCGTTGTTATTGTAATAACTAGTATGATATATGTGCATGAATAAATTTATTTGATATACAAAGAAAAAATGGAGAAAGAAAAAAAGAAAATAGGTCAAAAATAGTAAATTTTAATATAAAATTTCATAAAATTTTCAGAAAGTCAAAAAATATGCAAAACAATATTTATGAATTTTTTCAGAATTAAAAAATGTTAGAAAGTATTTTTTAAATAATTAAAAGTAAGTAAATAATTTAAAAAAATATAAAAAATATCAAATGTCAAAATAAAATGTGAAAAAATAGTCATGAGATCAGAAATAATTCAAAGTATTTTTGTGAATTTTTTCATAATTTTTGGATAAAAAATAAAAAAGTTATGGATTTTTGAAAATTTAATAAATAAAAAATATAAAACCAGAAAATAAAATAAAATCAAAAAGATGTGGACCATCAGATTATAGTTAAAACGCGTTAGTAAGCTGATCCAATGGATCAGACGCGCTGTGTTTGATATGGACTTTAGTGAGATACACATAGGATCAGAAAATGGGCAACCAATGAAATTAAAACGTTTGGCACGCTATCAATGGCTGAGACGAGACATGTCATCGTCTTCAACCTCCAGACACCCTGCAATGGGGATTTTGTGAGATCCTGCAAATGGAAAAATTAGAATCCCAGGCTAGTATCATTGAACTCGTCTCTTCAAGACGATTCTAACACCACCATCGCGCCAAATTTATATAAGGTATGGAGAGAGATATGAATCAAAAATCTAGAAAATAGCGAGCACCTTCAATTTGAGATTTCTCTCTCAATTCTCAATGGATTTAAAAATTGTAAGCAACATTAGAATCAGGAGAAGGAGTAGAATAAATTAGTGCTTGATTTGGATCCAAATGGTGGAGAATCTACCTTTTCGAAGTTCAAGGAAGAAGCTCTGAAACTGGACTTCCGTAGCTTGAATTATGGCTCGTTTTGATTGGTTTAAGTGCTGGAGAGTTTCTATGATGCTTAAGGATAATGAATGCGCAAAGAATTTTGGAGAAGGGAGCTTAAATCTCAGAAACTGAATTCAAAAAAGACGGGTCCGTGTGAGGTTTTGGCAGGGTGTTCTTGGCTCTCAAAGCTTGAAGAAATGGATGGGGGATGACCCTCTATTTATAGAGAAGTGAATGAGAATGAAAATTGGAAGAAACAAGGAAGTTTGGAGGAAAATTGAATGAAGGTCGAGTACGAGTGAAGTGTGACTTCATTTCCATCAAAACTCAACCAAATCTTGCGTTTTGGGATGCTAATCACTTATGGTAAGTTTTTTAATCAAGTTTAAATCAAAAACGCGCATAAATCTTGTGTTTAGAAGTCACATTATGAATTTCAAAATTCGGACTTTGTGGAAAATTCAGTTTCAAGTTACCAAATTCAAATCCATGACATTTCCAACTCAAAGGGTCTTAGGGCATGATTCTTGATGCTTTAGAAATATGAGGTTACAAGCTTTGCAATGGAAAAAGAATGGAATCAAATGGATGCTTGAGCTAAAAGTTGCATTGAGTCAAAGTTGAAGAAAAGGGTTGACTTTCCATACTTAGAAATATTTCAAATTCTTCTTCAAAAATGACCTATAATCTTTTGTATCCAAACATGGCCTTCCACTTGGAATTTGCTCTTGACCAAAAAATATGGAATGAAGTAGATCTCTTGAATGATATTTTGAAACTTGAACCACTCAAAATATCCAAAAATTGAGCAAGTTATGACTTATTGAAGTTGGCCAAAAGTCATGAAATGACCTATAATCTTTTGCATATTTAAGGCAACCTTCATTCATTTTCCCACTTTGAACATAAAATAAGGCATAGATTTCACATCTTCAAGATCATTATGGAAAAAAAATGGACTCAAGGTGATGAAAATTGACCAAGTTATGATCAATTGAAGTTACTTATGTAAAATTGTGGATTCATCTGGATGACTTGTAATCTTTCTTCTTCACCAAGCTTCTTCCACATGAAAAATCCTTGGAAATTTTGAAGTGACTTGTTGATAACCCTTTGAAGAGAAGGATGTCTTTGGAATCACTTAAAAATACCAAAAGGTGAACAAGATATATTCCTTTGAAGTTTAAAACCCTAGCTTCTAGATCAAGAAAAAGCCTTGAGGAACTTTGACAAGTTTGAACAAACTTCTTGTACCAATATTCTTGCTTTGTGAATAGAAGTTGTTGAGGATGATAATGAGGACTCATAGCCACCAAAACCACTTCCATATCTTGAAATTTGAGAGAACTATGCCCTTGTGACCAATATGAACAAGGCCTTGTCCAAACATAACATCTTCTCCAATCAACCTCTTGTACTTTTGAGTCAAATCTAATAACCTTGAAATGTGATGAATCAAAACAAACTTGCCATGCCAATTCCTCAAAAACCAATCCAATGGTGAAGTTTGAACTTCTCAAGCTTTTATTGGCTAGGGCATGGAAATAAACTCATGAACCCATGGAGTAATTTGTTAAATCTCATTGCCCTCCACCTACATGGATAACAAGCAAGACAAATCAACATTGCATCTTATTAGTTAAATGAAGAAACTAAAACAATATTAATGATCACAAAAGAAATATAAGTCAAGGTGCTTGGTAATTTCTCAAAAGGAGCAAAGCTCAAAGTAGGGAGGGGAACCAAGAATCCTAGTGTGATCTTGTTGTGAATGAATCAACATGGTATGATAAAGGGATCTTAGAGGCAAAAATTGGGGTACAACAGACACCTTCCTCTCTCTCTCTCTCTCTCTCTCTAAAGTTTTATTTAAATTTCTCTCACTAGATGTTATAGCCAAATTCCTTTGTGAGAAAAATTCTTTTGCGAGTGACGATAATGTTGTATTTTTGGAAGAGTAGAATTGTAAAATTACCAAGGCGATGTCTTATGAACACCTTGGTTGAATATTGTTCAATTAGGGATTATATATGTGGTTAGAAGCTAAACCCGATAAAAGCTTTGGTTGGAGATTATGTGTTCAATTCCTTTTTAGGTTGAAGATTAGCTGATATTAAAATCTTCCTAGATTTAATATTAGTCCGGTTAAAATCTCAAAGGTTGTGATTTATCCTGTTACAACCAAGTTTAGTTGAAGATTAGTCAATATTAAAAATCTTCCTTGGTTTGAGATTAACCCGGTTCAAATCTCAAAGGTTATTTGGTTATTCTATTAAACTAAAATTGAGCTCAGATATTTGGAACTTGAAGACTAACCGCTACAAGGTCTATGTTCATGGAGAGGAGACTAATCACTTCAATGCACACTTGGGAAGGAAGACTGACCACTTAACACTCAATAAATTATTGTAGAAAAGACACAAACACTCATATCTATTGTCTCGTATCATTTGGTTGAAGGTCAACCACAATTTCCTTGTATAAGAGGGTTCGTGAGTCTTTCCAATTAAAAGCTCTCAAGTATTATTGGAAACTCTCAAGACCAAGTCTTGGAGAAGGAGTAGGTCCTTTAGTTTTGACTGAACCTCTATAATTGTCTGTGTCCTTCTTCCTCCGTTAAATTTTACTTTCTGCTATTTATTTTCCGCTGCTTATTATTTGAAAATGTATTTAAACTCTGATTTAATATGTCAAAAGTTTTTAAAATCATGTTATTTCAAGCCACACAATTTACCTCCTCTTATGTGTGAAGTCTCAAGTCCAACAATATTGATACTTTTTTGAGAAATTAGGGATGGAAGACTATTTGAGAGAATGATAATTTATACTACTTGAGAGAATACTGTACAAGTTTGTTTACTTGCTTGTTACTTACTTCTTCTTGCTTTACAAATGTTAAGCTCTCAAGAGAAAGTTCTACGTACATCTATAGATTATTATAAATACTTCAATAAAAAGAGAGTGTTCTACACATTTTTCTTTACTGCATACATTTATTTCTTTGTCTCTACCAATCAACTTCTATATCTCTCTACCAATCAACTTCTATATCTCTCTAAACATTTCCTTAGACTATATATTACCATTAAAACCATAACATATCTAAAAATTTCATAGTTCTATGGATCAAATCAAGTTTATAGTCGAACATAAATTTTAATAAGTTTTAATTAGGGATTCATCTAATAAAAAAACAACAACAAGGATTGGTAGAATGTTTACCCTAATTCAAAACTTTATTAGAAGAGATGAGGTTAATATTATCCACTATAAGAACCTCCATCACCCTCTCTATTTCAACACTAAATTCTTAAGATGATTCTCAAGTTTAGAAATTTTTAGAAGATGTCATGCTTCTATAGAAAATACGAAGGTTATCATTCTCCACTGCGATTATACTTTTATCCGACACAAAACTTAATAACCCCTGACAATTATTTTTTGTTTTTTTATAAGTAAAAATTCATTGATTTAGAGTACGATGGGTACTCTTGCCTGATTACAAACAACGGTAAACAAGATGGAATTCCAAACTAATATAATTTTAAGATAGGAAACTAAAGGGAGCCATGCAAAATTCAAAAGGATTATAGTTGGAGTGAGAAATATCTCATACTATAAACCACTTCGACACCATCAATTTTATCTTCCATACTAGATCCTTCGAATTACAAACCACT